TGAAGAAGAAAAACACAAAAAAAGTTTCCAATTTATTTTCATGATCAAGGAAAGAATTGTAATTTGATTGGAATAATCAGCAACATGAAGCATTAAGACAAATATTTTGTACAAGAAAATGACAATAATTTGTTATAATTTACGCGAAAATGAAACCAAAATTGAAGTCAATCTTATTTTTCATCTCAAATAAACTTGCATAAAATTGTTATTCAAAATTCATAGTTGGTTGAAATTGAGTTTCTTTTGCCTTCTTCTTATGAGTTTACATGGAGTGAAAAAAGTATAATAAGATAAATGGAAAAAAATTTGCAACAAATTTTGGTATATTATTTCCGTTTCAATTGAATTTACTTGCTTGTTCCAAATTCAATCATAAAATACAAATATCACTCCCAGTGAATCCAACATTTTTGATAACATTTTCATTTCTACTCATGACAATCTCAACATGTTAAACCTTTCAAATAAGATGATATTTTTGTGCAAAATAAAATGTACAACACAACAATATTCAAAATTAAACAAAAAACTGTTTTCGCACTGAAAACCTAAACAATTGTTTAAATTATTCAATACAACCATTTAAACTTTCTTATGATTAAACTTTTCAAATAAACTTACAAGTGTTTAATGTTCAAGTTGTGTCTGAACATTATCTAAGGATTTACATCCACAAAAGAAGCAAATGATTAAACAATTCAATAATTCAATCGAATTGATAATTCAAGAGGGGAAATTGATTGAAATGTCAGGGAAAATCAGTCAACTTCTCATAACACCACGTCTTGGGATTGACCTGCTATTGCAAGAGATCACTGTCTCTTCATTTTACAGTTTATACCTCAAGATTTTCCCTTTCCTTGATTGTACAAAATAGCCAAAGATTTGCATTAGTAATTTTGGTATTTTGTCTCAACAATTAAGAAAATTGTTCAGTGAAATTGATGAGCATTTACTCGAAATCAATAGCTTCTAATAATCTTGTCATTTTTGCTATTCTGTAAAATCCTTGTATAAGTTAGATCGCTATTTTGCCAACGAAAGAAGGAACCAGATTTTGCCACTCGTGATTAACTTGACATTTTTTGAACGAAATTGACTTATTTTTGTACAAAATATTCTTGGAAAAAGTACTTTCATTTGAACGGTTGAATGGTGCCTTTAAGTTGAGTCTAAATGTCTTAATTGAATTTTGAAAATCAGTGCAAAACATTAGTAGTCGTAGCTTAACCTGAATCACATAAATTGTGTTGCTTTACATCTCATCATAGTCGAGTGGTCTCATTATTTACACTATTCTTGTCTATACTCAAGTAGATTTTTCAATTTCAATTCGTTCTTGAATTGAAGATGTTTGTCCTCGATTGGAATGCAATTTAATGTACATTATCGATTGGAAAACTGCAATTTCGTTTTGCTAGCAAATTGTGTTCTTTGATTATTAATGTTGGGATTGGTTTTTGTTGGGCAAATTGACAGATAACCGACGAATCCCAATTGAATATATTGACTTGAAAAGGAAACAGCATTTTCATCAGTAATTATTGGAACATTTCATGATAATAGATTTTTCACCTTAATCTTTATCTTTCCATTATTATTGTTTCTTCACTTTACCCTCCCTCAATCAAGAACTAACCTTCATTGGGTTTGATTTAATCAAGGGGTTGATTGTAAAGAACCAAAGTAAATTGGTCTAAACTAGTAATAGACAGAAAAGGAGGAAGAAAAGAGTCTGATGATGAAAGAGCAAATTAAATGAACACGTAAACAGTCGGATGGGAAAAGATGATGAAGATGAGAAGATGATCTAAGGAAGGTAAGTTGAACGATAAGTTGACTTGGCTGGATAACCTAATTTGAGGCAACAAGAAGCATCCATTAACTGACAGTAAACCTTTGAAGGCAATGTTGGTTAAGAGATGGACAAATGAAAAAAAGAGTAAAATCCATGGTGAGTTGAACAAGTCAGATAGTGAGTTAAATAAATCAAGTAAGAAGAGAAAGGCTGGCGAAGAAAAAAGTCAGGGGAAGAAGAAAAAGAAGAATCTTTCAGGAAGAATTGATTCTCTATTCTGGTCCTGAAATAATATTAGCTTTTTTTACTCAACAAACAACAACACAGACACTTTTAAATGTTATCATGTTAACAAAGCTACTCATCTCCATTCTTATCCTAATCTGTATCTACTTCAATGAATCAATTGAATTATTGCTCGATAAATGTTGCTTATAATTTACTTTTTTTATTGTTTCTTTCCTTATTCCTTTTATTAAACTCTGTGTTTTTGCATTCCCAGCATTTCGCCATCATGATGCCAATGATGCTTATTGTTATATTTATTCAAGAGTTATTAACATAATAATGATGTTAAATTGTAATCCTTGCTTCAAATGTTATGTAAAACGATTGAAAAAAGTGCATTTAATAGTTGCATGAATAAAATGAAAACAAAGACACCAATCATGAATTACAATTGAATTTCATTCGCATTCATTCACCAATTTATTCCACTTCTAACCAAATCTCATCAATTTATCATATTTCGAGTTCTCCATTTAGAACCAGAAATTGATTAGACAACAATTAAACCTAATTAGAACCCAATTTTCTGGCAAAAGGGATTTCTTTTCAGCTTTGCAAAGAAACTCTTAAATCTCAATTTTCTGGTTGGCGATTTAACAGTAAATTAGAAACAAAGTTTGATGAGTTTGACAATTAAATTGGTGAATGGTAAATGTCTGGGAATGATTGAAGGCTCAAGTCTATGAATATTGAAACAAATGATAATCTTGTGCATCTAATGAAGATGATGAATTTACCCGTTGCTGTCAGTCACTGGTCAAGTTAATTTAATTTTTGCTATTCACTCAACGTTATGTTTGAAATGGATGAAAATGAAAAATTGAAGCATGAAAATGGTTGGTTAAAGAAGGCCAACCAAATGGAGAGAAAAGCTGAAAACAGAAAACCAGGAAAATGATAACTTTTTTCATGGAAATAAATTAATAAAGAATGAAGGATTAAGATGATGTTGATGATGATGGAGCATAAAAAGGTCTAACTGAAGGTTATATCTTATGAAAATAATGGGTTACACTGATCATCATCATCATCATCATAATATCTTTACAGTATCTTTCAATACAATCGAATAATTCTTTCTGGTAATTTTCTTGCTCTTCCTTTTGCTCCATTTTTCCACTTCTCATCTTGATTCATCTTCCCTGATCATCTTCTCATTCCTAATCTATCTCAGCCTTTCAACCATTTTCATCATAATCATCATTGGCATGAAAAAGCAGAAAAAAATCATCTTTTTGTCCTTAGAAGCCATTATATTGTATTTATTTAGATTTTTTCATATTAACTTTTCTTCCGCCTTTCGTTTCTTTTTAATGGTAACATCTTTCATCCAAATCGCGATGATTAACAATTTCACCAATTTAACCTTAAATCACAATTTGAACAAATTTTTGCTTCGATCTTTCCTTTAATTAAAAAGGTAAAAACAAATTCAATTGAATAACTTACAATTGACTTGAACACCTTTCCTTATTACATTCAAGTTGACATTTGAACATTTGTTTTCCTCTTCTCTCTATTTGATTAACCTTTTTAAACTTGTTAAATTGGCATTTGTGATTGTTTAATTAAGCAGATTGTCAACCTTTCAAGTCCTGTTAACCTTTTCAATGAATTTTCACCGCATTTCAATTGTTCATCAGATTCATCTATATCATTATTGAAGCCAATTAATTAGAGTAAATTTCATTTGCAATTAATCAATCACTGATCGTAATTGAATCTCATTCAAAATGGTTAATATGATTGCAAGGTGAACATTGGCAATAAATTGTTATAACTGTCACGTCTTAATTAATATCATTAGGATATCATTTTAGAGTCAATTTTCTGGTTCAACATTAAATCAAATGTCAACTTTTCCCATATTTTCATCAGATAATAATCTTAATTAGACTGGCCTTTTGCCTGATGATAATAATGATCCGAACATTACTTTGCACTCCATTTTAATCACTCGCCTTTTGACTGGGAGTTGCTTTTACAACCAACAATATCAATCCATATCTAGTATTACATGAATAAACTAACAACAAGGTTTATAATTAACAGCACAATTATCATATTAGTCGAAGCAAGTCAATTATTTTGAGTTAAACTAAAACATGAAACAATCATTAGCTTTAATTAATTTTCATTGATTTTCCTCTTTTCTGGTAATGAAGCTGAGAGAATGAGAAATCAATTTAATTATTTAAAATTGATAATCTTTTTAATACTCTAATGGTCAAAAGTTGGGCCATCATTTAAGCCGAGAATTAATGAATGATCAAGACTGAAATTTTCTCAATCAACATTAATGTTATAATTGTTGAGTTAATTTGCATTTCAAACAGTTGATCTGCATATTTCACGGTTATTCATCCGAACCTTAACTGTTCAAATTGAATAACAATGTGCAATCAAATTCGCATCGCAATTGTATTTCATCTCAATATCTTTTGAAACCCAAAAAGAACCAGAAAACCCAAAACTTGGAATCCAAATTATATGTCAAATAACATTGAAAAGATGTTACAGTTCCAGCAGAACGTGTCATTTTCATGATAAATTCAAGTAAACATCAACAATAAGACACAAGTCTTTGCCTTCAAGTTAATTGTCCTTAAAATTTCTAATCACAGTTAGAGTTAAATTGCTATTACCAGAAATAAAGAAGTCCATATAATCCCTGGTTGATTCTGGTTCATCTACAAGTCTATTAGTTAAAAGGTTGCGATTTTTGGCAAATTTGATTGAAAATTAGTTGCCATGAATGAAGCACTAAAATTGATGGAAGCAAATTTGAATGGACAATTAAGAACGGCTTCTGACTTATGTGCTATTTAATAATGAGTCCATTGTGTTTAGGTAATTGCTTCATTTTGTTGCTTCTTTATTATTAAATTGAATTAAAGAATCAATACTTTACCTAATACTTTGGTAAATCAATCCTGAAAAGGCTATACGAAGGAATCTATTAGGTGTTGTGGCAACATGGAAGTAGGCTTGCTTTTCATTGGCAAAAAAGGTGTCTGGAACCCAAATTTTCTTGGCAACTTCAGCACCAACATAAAGGTTACTTATACCAGGTAAGGGATCAAATGATAATCTTGGATCCTTCCACTCTTGTCTAAAATAAAAATCTGAAGTAAAATCCTGTTGGAAGAAAAGGAAAAATGAAAAAAGCAAAAATTAAAATGGTCTTCAATGAAATGTTTAAATATTTGATGAAAACCCAACAAAAGCATTCAGACTAATCAACAAACAACTAACTCTTTGAACGTAAAACCATCAGTAAATTAAATTATTACATTTCAGGTGATAACTTACTCAATGGAAGCTCAAATTGACCTGAGAAAAATAAGAATATTAAAAAAGTTCTAATCTCTTTTATCAACTCGTTTTCTATCATTTATTCATTTGTAATGGCGAGATGTTCATCCTGAAAAGTGTAATCATTGTAAAAGTAATAAACGTAGAGATAAATGTTGAACTTGTTTCACCGAATAAAACTTTTCGCCAATTTTTCAGCATTTGCTTTTCAATTATTGATCAATTTACTTACCATTTTAACCTCAGAAACTGAACTGATACTTGTAAAGTAAACACTTATACCAACTTCAACCGGCGGACCTGAAAATGGAAAGTAAAAGGTTGATTAAAATAACGAAAAGGCGAAAAGCCAAAAAGTCGATGAATGTCGAGTTGATCGTTAAGATTCAGTTTTGATAAGATTGTTCATTCCAAGGCTGATAAGTCATTCTCATCAAGACAAACAATAACAGTCTCTAGTCATCAATATCTATTGACAAAACAATATTCAATGAGCAATAATTTTAGCACATTATTGGTTGAAAGGAAAGATGGAAATGCTGTCTTCTGTTATGGTTTGCTCGTCATTTTTTGTCTTATGATAATCAGATTATCAGAATGTTCAGTTGCTCTGAAAATAAACAAATACAATGGTGGCTTACAGAAGGATATTTTATTCATCATCATTCCATATCTTTCTTTGTTATTCCTTTGCCTATTCATTTTTACTGATCTTTGATCTTTTTGTCTGACCTGAATCTATTTTTTTCCCCATGAAAAAGGACTTAACATGATGATCTAAAAATAATCTTTTATTGTTATTCACTTTGCTGGTCTTTTTAATGAGCAAACCGTCTTCAATATAAGTTGTTATTTTCATTCCCAAAATCGGCTCAACTCTCGGTTAAACTCAAACTTTCACTCCATGATTCAATGAACGAGCAAAGATCAAACCAGATTTTAAAGTTGCTTCAAATCTTTTCCAATCAAAACCAAACAAAATGAAAAGCCGAAACAATGAAAATAATTCAACCTTTTTTCAATTAACATTTCAACAAAGCATTTCCTTTATTAAATCATTAAAAGTGACTTCAAAAGATAATCCGAATTAAGTTTTTCTAGGATTTAGTTTGGATCAAGAAATGACAGTTAAGTTTACAATGTTGGTTAACTAAACCTCAAATGTACATTTGTTTCAAGAGAAACTCAAAAAGGTAAATTTACCTCTCAACCCATTATACTCATTATTGCATTTAACCCAAACTGGTAATTTTGTATTTACTCAAGTGTTTAACCTAAAATTTCAATGTAAATTGGATAACCTTTATAAGGAAAAGATTTTGTTTGGTGAAACAATTTTGATGAATCAAGTACTAAATATGAACTTGGAATGTTTTGATGCTTGGAAAGGTCCTTTTAGTGGTCAAATGACCAATCAATTTGGAGAATGAAAATGATGAAAGTAAACTTTGAAACTGAAAATGCTACTCATGAATCCATCGGAAGCTCAAAGTAAACTAATCTCGTGATTAATCTTTTTCAACAGCAAATCAATTATCTAATCTTGAAGGTCCATTCTTTTTTGACCAACAGCCAGTTTTTGACAGCTCAATTTAACCCAAAACCTGAAAGAAGCTTGAACGTTGCTTCTTGTTGCTCAACATGATATTCAGTTGAAAATGACTTTTGATTTACTCTGTGAATGGTTTACATTGATGAATTGGTGAATGAGCAAACAAGACTGACAACAAAAAAGTGACCTTTAACAGAGCATTTTGTTTACAATCGTAAAGTCTGCAAATGTAATATAAATAGCTAAAAATGGTTCATCTAAAGGGAACACTTGAATAACTGTAAACTGGTATTCATCGAGTTTAATAATCTGTACATAAACCATGCATTTGATGGGTTAACCAAATGGCCAGTCAAATTGTTGACCCATTTTTGAATGGACACAATTGTCCAATGAAAGGTTAAAGAGAAATGTTGAAACGTTTAAAAAGGATTCTCAAATCGTGAAACACTTTACATCGTTACATATCTTCATGTTACGCAAAGACAAACAAAAAGTATCCATATATTGGTTAGTGATGGCTTCTGATCGATTTCATGGTTTCAACCTTTTCTCCTTATCATGGAATGAACTATTGATCGCAAATAATAGTGGAGTGAGAGTGAGATGAAAAAATAGAAGAGATTCTGGGTAAGTAAGTACATGAGCATTTCATGCTTACCAAAAAATCCAAAACATAAATGCATAAAAGCATAATGAAATATTGTGAACAAGTTGTACAAAAGAGAGAAGAAGAAGAAGAAGAAGAAAAGGAAAGAATCAAACTGGAATATCATCATGATCATCATCATCATCATCTTGGAATCATGCTTCCATTTCATTTTTATCTTTCCTTTTCATCTTCTCTTTATCTTTAACTCTTTCTTTCTTCCTCATCATTTTCCCTCTCATTCCTCCAATCCTTCCCAGTCTTTTACTTGCATTTATCCCTGAAACATTCATTTATCTATCTATCAATCCATCTATCGTATTTCATTTCCTAGTCTTTCTTTTTTTTCTTCTTCTTTTTTCTTTCTCTCTTTCTCTCACTTATATGTTATAGAGAATGCTCTGAATTCTGATGCAGATAACATTCACCAGCCAAAGTGAACTTCACCAAGAACAAATTGAAAAATGGAAAGAAATTTTTTCTTTTTTCTTTTTTTTTCTTTTCTCTCTGTTCGCATTATTTTTATTCACCTTGTTCAAACTGTTATTTCACTGATACTAATTTAAAAATTTCAACGTTATTCAATAAAAATGATCATTTTGTTTCTTTTCAGGGGGAAAAGTTGACCAAATTTGTTCATATGAAGACAACTGCCAATGGAATGAATTTTATCAATTTTAATGAAATGCTTATCAATTGCAATTCACTTGCTATTGCAGCTGATCAACTAGCAACTTACCTCCATAATTAGGTCTGACTCGTTTATCATAGCCACTTGAGAAGAATGCATTTAGTATTTTAGTTATATTTTGACCCAAAGCATTTCTGTTGGTAGATAGAAAGGAAAAGACAAAAGTGAATGAAAATGTTATTCGGGGAATGAATAAGTTTCAATATCTTACCCTTTCTCAATGACATCTTCTTCCTCATTGAGTGTAAAAATGAGATTAAATTTATTAAACATAATAATAATTAACACAAATATCCATTGGTTTAAACGATTTATCATCATTATCGAGATTTAACCTTTTCTCCTCTTCTCCGTTTTCTTTTTCACCTTTCCACTTCTCAATAAATTTCTTATAATTATTGTTGTTGTTGTTTATTCAATTATTATTTATATTATTATTATATTATATTATTTAGATTGGGATTGCAATTTGATATTATTCAAGTTTGTCCGGGTTTCAAACAAGATAATTTATTAAGATGGGAATGATGATTTAGAGGGAAATAATAATAATATTGATTGTTGTGTAGTTGATCGTAGAGTTGATATTGAAGATGATGTTGAGCTTGGTATTGAGATTGGTGTTTGTATTTGTCTTGCTTTTGGTTTTGAGATTTTTTGAGATGTTGATACTCTAGTTGTTGTTGTTGTGTTTGATGTTGATGATGAGGGTGGTGTTGATGGTGTTTTTGGTGTTGTTGATGATGGATGCGATAATGAAGATGACAATGATTGGAATGATTTTGATGATAAAAAGGACAATAATGGTGTTGATGGCGATGACGAATAACAAGATGATGAAGAAGATGAATAACCTTCGTTGATCCCGTGAATGTAAGCGTTATAATCATAACACTTAATAACAACTAACCCATTGAAATTACACATAGTCCAACATTTCACATAATTTAATAATCACTAAACTATAAAAATGGGTTTTCATTTAAAATCAGCTATTAATGTACATCACAATATTTCAGGCAAAGAGTAACGAGTAAAAGAGTAAAGAGCAAGAGAGAGAGAGAGGAGAAGAGAGAAGAGTTGAGATGAGATTGATGAAGAGGATGACGATGAACACGATAAAGATGATGAAGATAAAGACAAA